GGGGGGGTGAATAGTGAGGCACGAGAATGTTTATAAATTTTTGCAGAATAAAAATCGCAGGGATAAAGTAAAGAGCGGAATAAAAAGGAGTAAAGGGAGCACACCAAAATTTACCCTGGTTCACCACAACTTGTGGCTAATCCAGCCTCCCGAGAGACTCTCTCGAGCTACACTACTTCCGTTAAGCTTACGGGTGCTTAACAAACCGTTACAACCTGAGAACTTGAGTCCCACGAGCCTCAATACACTTGCTCGGAGATACCGCACTCCAAGACTTCAACCTGAAGGAAAATACCTTTCTTTCGTACAACCAAGGGAAACAAGCTTCCCTAAACGTGTTTACAACACTAAGAACACTCAAGAACAAGACTCTCTTTTAGAGTAGATGTTGAGTAAACTATATACGCTCAAGAACAACTCAAACTTCACAAATTGGCTCTAGAAAGCTATGGAAAATAATGTTGTTTGGATGCAATGATAATATGAATAAAGTGAAGTGAATTGATGAGAAAAGCAGACCCAAACACCCCTTTTTATAGTGCCAAAATAGGCTCAAACGGACCAATACATTAAAGGAGTGATTGGCTTGATTTATGGGATTGAATAACTTTGGGATATGCAGGATATTGGCTTCCCATCGATGTTTGGAACTTACCCATCGCTGGTAAGCCAATTTTCCTTCAGTTTTGAAGCCAACGGTTACCTACCCATCGATGGGTAGATGCTTCCCATCGCTGGGTGGGAGGTTGACTTTCAAATAAGGAAAGAATCAGCCTTAAATGACTCGCAATGGTCATGCCTAACCATCGATGGTTAAGCCTTCCCATCGCTGGGTTCCCATCGATGGGTAAAGCTTCCCATCGCTGGGTAAGGGCATTCTGCCTTGTGGTAATGTTGCACCAAGGCTTTAACAGCGATGGGTAGAACTTCCCATCGCTGTTTGGCATGGTTCTGGAAATCAGTTTCGTTGAGGGACTGCTTACCCATCGATGGGAAGATCTTCCCATCGCTGGGTGGCATGATTCTGGAATCCCGGGATCACTTACCCATGCATGGGTGAAATCTACCATCGCTGGGTAGATGGCTAGCCCAGAACCATGGCCTAGCTGACCGGCGCTGAAACCCGACCGAAAAATGCAAAGTTCTCCAAAGTAAAAACTAAGTATATAAAACACTTATTTAATGTATTTTGATGTCAAAACAAGCTTTGTAAGTTGAAAACCACGTCGTTAAGGTAAAAACCA